TCGGAGGATGCACGGGAACCATGGGCTCCTCGAATGCAGACTGCCAGAGAACACGCTCGCCTAAAAACCAAGCATATGTCCTCCGAAGGACTAGAAGTCCTTGATAAAGAGCCTGAAAACTGCAAAGAATCATGTCGGACCGGACAACCTCATGGACTCCGACGATCAAACTCCAAGGACGAAGATCGATCTACAAACACAACCACATGAAAAATCGTCAGAAAATAAATAAAATCAAAAGATGCACATGTAGTTGGAATACTCACCGACGCACGAGTCGCCGAAAAGATCCTCTGGCGATAGTTGCCGGCAAAAGTGGGTCGTCTCTTCTTAATCGTGACTAATCAATGGCCGATAGGAAAACGAGCAGCCTAAAACATCCTAGGGGCTAAGAAAGGCAGGTACGAGTATCCCCAAGCCTTAAACCGAAAAAGGATAAGCCTAAAGGAGAAAAGCAAAAATAATAATCGAAAGAAGCTTAAAGTACTTATCTCAAGGATACGACCGTGCCACGTAAGGGAGATCCAAGGAACCTTAGTACCTGCCGCGAAATCCATCACCCGGGTCGCCTTTCCCAACGCTGTAAGCATACGGGCATACGACACCTCCGCCCAACTCTGGTTACCTAATTACAGCCTACGTTCGGGGACAAGCGAACCAACTACAACCCACGTTTGGGGACAAGCGAACCAACTACAACCCACGTCCGGGGAAAATAAGTAACCCAATAGCAAAACTTTCTCCTCGATCACCCAAGATAGTGACGGAAAGAAAGCGAGCAATGTATATCTGAACCAGCTGCTCAGGTGTACACTGTCGATCACGCTCGACAGTCGACAACTCGTCGGCAAGAACCGAGTATGGACAAGACTGCGTGTACACGTGAAGGGCTGACGCAAGACAGTCCCCCACAAGGTCGCGCAGTATCTCGTCTGACCCCTTAACGATCTCTATGGCTACGAGCTCTCCTCCAAAAGGAAAACCCGTAATCATAGAGAAATCGAAAGGGGTAACTGTCATCTCTCCCCATGGAAAGTGGAAAGTGTTGGTGGAATCCCACCAAAACTCCCGCAATCCAAGGAGGAAAGAAGACGACGTAGGCTGACGCAGGTTGATGCATGCTAGGCTTACTCTAAGGAAAATAAAAATAATAATAAAAAAACGGTTATGGTTTAAAAAGGAGAAGAAACTAAGGAAAAAAGAAAGAAACAAAGGCGCAAAGAATTCACGATGCCGCACCACCCTCTGATCGAGACTTGATGGTCTGGGTCCCACTTAAGGACACTAGGGTCCCAGTTGGGAGGAGCCTCCCAAAACACATCCTCCTGGCGACGTCTATCGGCTGCAATGCGTCGCTCTCAAACCTCCTCTCGAGGACGGGTGACATTCTTTCGAGGTCGAACCGCCTTGTCAGGACCTTATGAGTGGCATTTATGCCACGGTTAAGGTTCATTTTGATGGTCATTTTCCCACATTTGTGGCTTGTTTGCATCCTTTTCTTTCACTTAGTTCCATTTCGCTTTATGCATCTTCTTTCCTAGATTTTGCCCTTTTTCCTACTCTTTAATTTGATTTCCATGCTTATTTCTTTGTAGGAACCGGGGTTTTCAAGAGGAGGAAGCTAAAGTTCAAGGAAAGCTTAAGATAAGCAAGGTTAAGGAGAGGTTCGGCCGAACCCCCTGAAGGTGGGGTCGAACCAGGGTGTGGCCGAACCTGCTCCATTGTCCGACCGAACGTCGAGGTAGAGTCAAGTTGCATTTTGGTGATTTTGTAGGAGTATTCGAACCTCATAAGTTCGACCAGACCAGGATCAGAGGAGTTCGACCGAACCTTCCCATGCTTCGGCCGAACCTATCCTGTAGTCTGGCCGAACCTTCCTATTGTTCGATCGGACCACTCCCCTACTTCACCTAGCTGTGTACGGACTACATAAGTCCCATTTTAGAACGTTTTGATGTAATTAGATTAACTTAGTTTTAATTTTCTGCATTTTTTTATCTTAATCTAGAGAGAGAAACACTATTAGTCTTCATTTGGTAGAGAGAGAAAGTCTGGATTTCTCCATTGATGAACTTTGATTTGAAGAAGAAGCTTGTTTAATATTTTGTAGATTTTCAACTTCAATTAATGAGCAATCTCTTACTCTTTCTCTTTACCTTTGCATTTAATTTTTTTTGTTTACTTTGATTTTCCTTCTTTGATTTTTAATCATGTTGATGCTTATTGATTTGGTCATTGATATTGTTTTCAACATGATTTGTGAGTAGTCACTTAGCCAAGGGTGTGGGGATGGTGTAGATGCTAATTGTTCATGCTTATAATATTGGGGTTAAGTTAATTGTGATTAAAATCTTTGCATGCTTGATATTCTTTGATCTTCTTGAAAGTGCACATTGTTGGTTGATTAAAGGTGAATCTTTGCTAACAAGGAACGGAAGTTGACTTGGTTAAGGTTCATTACTATCGATTGTTCTTTTATTGCACCTCCCAATATATGGTTCTAGTGTGGAAATATAGAGGCTATGTTAGGAGAAACCGATTAACCCTGGAAGGCGGTTAGATTGGACCTTATTTCGATATTCATGCATGTTTAGTTCACTATTGATTTGCTTTTATGTTATTGCATGATCAAGCGGCATCTACATCTACCCATTTCCCTTGGTGTTTAGTTATATTTATTTTAACTCGTTTTACCTTTAGTTAAATCTCTTAGTCATTCCTGTTCATTGTCCCGAGATAGCTTAAAATCTAGTGATGAATGCGTTGTTTATGTGCTTCTCCCAGTGGTTCGATCCCTCTTCTTGCCATATACGTGTATTAGGATAAGTCTAGTGTTATAAATTGTATTTGATTTAGGCGTAGTTGTCTAACAACGCGATTATTCCTCTATCAAACTGGCGTCGTTGCCGGGAAGACGGCTTCCATTGATATTTCATTGCTTGTTTGAGACTATCTCACCTTTTATTTGTTATTGTTTGCTACTTTTGTTACTTGTCAGTGCTTACGTTCTTCTTAGCTTTGTTGTATGACCCGCTCAAGATCTTTGATTCCCATCGATCTAGAGCTAGAAAGGTCTTTATCCCTACTTCGAAGTGAAGCGAGAGCAAGGAGTAGAAATTCTCACACCCCGACGAGAGGGGTAAGAGAATTAGAAGATACTCCACCCTCTTCACCCTCAAGTGAAGAATTAGATAGCCCTAACTCATCATCGAGTCCGAAAATAAACCCTTTCTCAACCTATAAGTTCGAGAGTGAAGAAGGTCCTAAAATGGGAGAGAATACACCTTTGAGTCGTCTTGGGCTCCCGAAGCCTTTAGAGCACAAAGTGGAATTTTAACTCCTTCCACTCAAGCCAACAATTGTGATATCAAGCCCAATTTAATTGCTTTGATAGAGAGAAAACAATTCTCGGGTGGAAAGTTTGAGAGTCCTCATGAGCACATAAAAGAGTTTGAGATATATTGTGACACAATAAAGGCCAATGGAGTGACTTAAGAATATATTCGCCTCAAGATGTTTCCATTTTCTCTAATTGGTAGAGGTCTAAAATGGCTAAATAAGGAGGTGCCCCCTAACTCTCTCACGACATGGGACCAAGTGACTACAACTTTTTTAAGGAGGTTTTATAACCATAGGAAGACCGCCGAGGCTCGGTCTTTGATCCAAGGTTTTCGCCAAAAGAGTGGTGAGTCTCTATGTGCGGCATGGGAACGATCCAAAACACTTCAACGTCAATGTCCACACCATGGGATACCCAACTATCAACTCATTCAAACTTTCTATGGAGGTCTCACACCTCAAGGGAGAACAAGCCTTGACGCCGCGGCCGGCGGTCCAATCATGAACAAAGGAGTGGATGAAGTGGAGTGTATTATAGAGGAGGCCGCAAAGCACTATGAAGATTGGTATGAAGGAGAAGGGGATGCTATTTCTAGTAAGGGTGTTTATGCATTGGAGCAAGCCAACGCAATCAACAACCTATCTACCCAAATCTTCAAATGACCAAGCAAATGGATGAATTGATGAAAGAAAGGTCTAATCCTCATGGTAATACCTCCCCTTCAACCAAGGGAGGCAATGGTATGGATACTTCCTCCCCCTCTCCTTACAATACAAATTCCCAAGGATGCATGTTTTGTTCTAATTGTGAAACCTATGATCATGATACCTCTCATTGTGTATATCCTTGAGAAGTTCAAACCCTTCCCCATGAACATGATGATAATATGGAAAATTTCAATGGTATGAATTTTGCTCCTAGAATGAGGAATGTAGGGAACTTGAGGCCAAACTCCAATTAAATGGGGAATTGGAATGAAGGTGGAAACCATGGTTGGAACCAAAGTGGTGATGGTTATGATAACCAATACCATGGTGGGGGAGGCCCTTCCAATATCAATGGAAGAGGCTACTCTAACCAAAGGGGGTATGGTAATCAAAACCAACAACTTAATTCCCGATATCAGATCATGACCATCAATATCAAAATTTTGGTGATCAAGGTAACATGGGAAACAATCAACAAAGTAATGTTCCTAACCAAGGCACCAGAGGCAATAGGGGTCAATATGTTTCTAACTATGCCCAAACTAATAGGCCTTTGGGTTTCCATCAACCCAACCTTCCTCCACCTCAACAACCTCTTCAACTTGAAGCCCCTCCAAATGATCCCATGATGGCTAAGTTAGATGCTCTTTTGAAAATGCGTGAGGAGGATCAAAAGAGGCATGAGGAGGAACAAAGGAGATATGAGGAGGATAAAAAGCGAACTAATGCTCATATGAAAATGCTTGAGACCCAAATTGCTCAACTTGCATCTAATTCATCCCCTTCTTCTTCTTCTTCTTCTTCTTCTTCTTCTTCTTCTTCGTCTTCTTCTTCTTCTTCTTTTTCTTCTTCTTCTTCTTCTTCTTCTTCTTCTTCTTCTTCTTCTTCTTCTTCTTCTTCTTTCTTCTTCTTCTTCTTCTCACATTCCAAGTCAAGGAGTCAACCCAAAACCTATGTATGCCGTGACAACTAGGAGTGGGAAGGTAGTAGGGAGTGACCCTTTAGTTGAGGAAGAACCCCAAGAGGAGGTGGAGTTAGAGAATGAGGGTGAGAGAACCAATGAGCCATTAAGTGTTGAGAAGGAAAAAGATGTTGAGGTGCCAAAGGAAAAATAAGCCACTCCCTTGCCCCTAAATCGCCAACCTAGTGAGGAAAAGCTACCCTTTCCACAACGATTCGTGAGAGCTAAACTTGATTCCCAATTTGGAAAGCTTTTGGGAGTCATTAAGAATTTGCATGTTTCTGTTCCTTTTGTTGATGCTATGAAGAAAATGCCCCACTATTTGAAATTCTTTAAAGACCTTTTGAGTGGGAGAAGGGAGTGCAAAATGGTGAGCTTGACTGCCAATTGTAGTGCAATTCTTTCCAACAAAATTCCTACCAAATTGAAAGATCCGGGTAACTTCTCCATTCCTTGTTCTATTAATGGCATTGATTTTGATAAAGACTTGTGTGATTTAGGAGCAAGTGTGAGTCTCATGCCCTATTCCGTCTACCAAAAGCTTAGTGTAGGAACCCTCTCCCCCACTAACATAACTCTCCAACTAGCGGACCGTGCCATTAAGTTCCTCATGGGCAAGGTTGAGGACATTCCCCTTAGGGTAGGAAAGTTCACATTCCCCGTGGATTTCTATGTCCTAGAGATGGATGAGGACGAGAGGATTCCTATAATTTTGGGTAGACCATTTCTAGCTACTTCTAGAGCTATCATGGATGTGAAGGAGGGTAAGATATCCTTGATAATTTACAATGATTCCATTGAATTTGACTTGAATAGTGTCATGCAACAACCCTCCTCAAGTCGTGAATGATTTAGAGTAGATGTTCTTGATACCGTGCTTAATGAATTTTCACACTCCCACTTGCATGCTATTAATGATCCTCTTGAAAGTGTGTTGTTGAATGAATCCAAGATAGGTACTCACAAAGAATACATACAATTCTATGAGGATTTGCTTGAGGAAAGAAAGAGGGAATGCAAGGATGCGAGCATGGAAAAAGAGGCTTCATACATTCATGACCTTTTTCAAGTTGAAGAAAGAGAAGAGAACCCCAATGGTAAGGGAGCACCAAAGGTAGACTTGAAACCTCTACCTTTGGGATTGAGGTATGCATTTCTTGGTTCCGATGAGTCTTTCCCCATTATTGTCAATTCTAACCTAACGGAGGAGCAAACCTCCCTCTTGATCAATGTTTTGAGAAAACACAAGAAAGCTTTGGGTTATACCATTGATGATATCAAAGGTATAAGTCCATCATTATGCATGCACAAAATTGATCTAGAGGGAGATGCCAAACTCGTTAGACAAAGGCAAAGAAAGCTTAACCCTTCCATGCAAGAGGTTGTGCGGAAGGAAGTGGATAAGCTACTTGATGCGGGAATTATCTACCCAATCGCTCATAGTGATTGGGTATCTCCCGTACAAGTTATGCCTAAGAAAGGGGGCATGACGGTAGTGAAAAATGATCATGACCAGCTAGTGCCTACCAGGCTTGTTACTGGTTGGCGCATTTGTATTGACTATCGCTAACTTAACACAAGTACATGCAAAGATCATTTTCCACTACCGTTCATTGATCAAATGTTGGAAAGGCTTACAAAGAATTCCTTCTATTGTTTCCTTGATGGTTACTCGGGATTTTTCCAAATCCCGATTGACCCCAAGGATCAAGAGAAGACAACTTTTACATGCCCCTACGGTACTTATGCGTATCGTAGGATGCCTTTCAGGCTTTGTAATGCCCCCACAACATTCAAACGTAGCATGATGTCAATTTTTAGTGATATGATTGAGGATGGGATAGAAGTATTCATGAATGCTTCTCCGTTGGAGGACCACCTATGAAGATTGTCTATCCAATTTATCTCGTTGCTTAGAAAGATGTGAGAGAGCCAACCTCGTGTTGAATTGGGAAAAGTGCCACTTCATGGTGGAAAGTGGAATTGTTCTTGGGCACAAAATTTCCCATGCCGGCATTGAGGTAAATAGAGCCAAGGAGGAGGTCATTAAGAAACTTCCTCCTCCCACCAATGTGAGGGAAGTGAGATCTTTTCTTGGCCATGCCGGGTTCTATCGGCGCTTTATAAAAGATTTTTCATTGATTGCTAAGCCTCTCACATCCCTATTGCAACAAGATAAAGAGTTTGTGTTAAATGATGCTTGTCAAGAGTCTTTTTGTAGGTTGAAAGAAGCATTTTGCACCGCTCCTACTGTCCAAGGTCTGGATTGGTCACTTCCATTTGAACTCATGTGCGATGCAAGCGACGAGGCTATTGGATCGGTTCTTGGGCAAAGAAAGGATGGGAAACTTCATGTCATATATTATTTGTCTAAAACACTCAATGATGCCCAACAAAACTACACAACTACCGAGAAGGAGTTCTTAGCGGTTATTCACTTATTTGAGAATTTTAGAACCACTCGGCTCTCAAATATTTTATAGGAAAGAAGGAAGCTAAACCGAGGTTGTTGAGATGGGTTTTAGTTCTCCAAGACTTTGATTATGAGCTGAGAGACAAGAAGGGAGCCGAGAATGTGGTGGTGGATCACCTTTCAAGGTTGGGCAGTGCAAGGTTTCAAGATTATGGTTTTCCAATAGAGGATGCTCTACGGGATGATGTGCTATATGTCCTTGAGGTGAAGTCGGAGCCATGGTATGCGGATATTGTAAATTATTTGTCTTGTAGTGTCGTACCTCCGGATTTCACTTCACAACAACGTCGAAGACTCAAGTATGAGGCCAAGAGATACATTTGGGATGATCCTATTTTATTGAAGAGAGGCGTCGATGGTTTGTTGAGGACATGCGTCCCCAACGACGAGGTTCAAAGTGTTCTCCATATGTGCCACTCTTCTCCTTGTAGTGGGCATATGAGTGCTCAAAAGACCGCTTCAAAGGTTCTACAATCTATGCTCTTTGGGCCTTCTCTATTCAAGGATGCTTGGATTTTTTTTTAAGACTTGTGATAGATGTCAACGGATGGGAAATATTTCTAGGAGGGGAAATGCCGCAAAACCCTATCCTTGAGCTTGAAGTTTTTGATGTGTGGGCTATAGATTTCATATGCCCTTTTATTTCTTCACATGGGAACAAGTATATTTTGGTTACCGTTGACTATGTCTCTAAGTGGGCGGAGGCTGTGGCTTCCCCTACGAATGATTCTAAGGTAGTGGTTAATCTTTTCAAAAGGTGATTTTCCCAAGATTTGGTATTCCAAGAGCCATAATTAGTGATGGGGGGTCACATTTCAAGCACCACACCTTCGTTCGACTTCTTGATAGATATGGAGTGTCTCATAAGCGGGGGCTTGCTTACCACCCTCAAACGAGTGGTCAAGCGGAGATCACCAATAGGGAGCTCAAGGTGATCTTGGATAATATGATTGCTAGAACAAGAAAGGATTGGTCTTCTAAACTCATCGACTCTCTATGGGCGTATAGGACCGCCTTCAAAACTCCAATAGGGACCACTTCCTATAAGCTTGTTTATGGGAAAAATTGTCACTTGCCCATAGAGATGGAGCATCAAACCCATTGGGCGATTAAGCAAATCAACTTTGACCTCCATAGTACGGGTGAACAAAGGCTTCTCGAGCTACATGAGTTAGAGGAATTGAGGATGAATGCTTACGATAGCGCAAGCATGTACAAGGCACGGACACAGGCTTGGCACGATGCTTAAATTGTCAAGAAGGAATTTGTCAAAGGCCAAAAAGTCCTCCTATTCAACTCCCGCTTGAAGCTTTTCTCGGGCAAGCTTAGGTCAAGGTGGAGTGGGTCGTAGATTATCACGGAGGTGTTCCCATATGGCGTTTATGAGATTTCCCAAGACGGCCATACTCCATTTAAAGTGAACGGTCACCGGCTCAAGCCCTACTACGAAGGATTCCCAAGTGATGAACCAATTTTTGTGACTCTTCTTGATATGAATCATCAATTTGACCCTCATTGATTAGTTCATGGAACGTCGAGCTAACGACGTAAACCAAAAGCGCTTCCAGGAGGCAACCCGAGTCTCTAAACCTTTTATACTCTCTTCTTTTCTTGATGCTTTGTTATTTTTCTATCTACAATTTCGGATTATTGGTTTTTTGAGTTTTGATTGTGTTGGAATTTTTGGTATGCTTTGCTTTAGCATGATTGTATAGTGTTTTAGTGTAGAGGGGTGTTTGTGCATATTTTGCTGCAAAATGAGCATTTTTGAAAAAAATTAGGTGGTTCGACCGAACTCCCTGAAGGTTCGGTCAAACTTTATGAAAGGTTTGCCCGAACTTTCTTGAGTTCGGCCGCACCTCCTCTGGAAGCTATATCTGAAAAATTTCTGCCAGAATTGTAGAAATTAAGGATTCAGAGTATGTTTGACCGAACACATACGGATTTCGACCGAACCTTAGTTAACCCAAACATTGTTAAGTTCGGTCGCACCTCCTCTGGAATTAAAAACTGGAAAGTTTCTACTCATTTTGTGAATTCAGCGTTAGAGACCAGGTTCGACCGAACCTTGAGTAAGTTCAGCCGAACAATTTAAATGATTCGACCGAACAAACCCAAGGTTCGGCCGAACCTTGGACGAGTTTAAAATAAAAAACCTGCTGTTTTTCCTCACGGTTTCATCAACTTATTCGACCCTCTCTCTCTCCTCTTCTCTTTCTCACTCTAAAACTCCATTACAACTCTTAATTTCAACCCCAAACCTCCATCAAAATCACTCCAATCTCCTCTATTTCTCACTTATTTTTCATCCTTCACTCAATTTCTACAATCTCCACCATAAATTCCACACAAAAATCCCATCTTTCAATTTTTCCCCAATTTCTAGGGTTGAGTTCTTTGGTGTTTTTGGGTTTCTACTTACTTACAATCAATTGTGGTATGGTTTTCCTACCTTTTGCAAGTTCATTTCTTCAATTTCTCATAGTTTTACCATGTTTTGCATGTTTAAATATGAATTGTAGTATTCTTGAAATTGTTGGTAATAGCTTGTTTGATTCATGTGGTTCTTTGGATTTACTTGTTGCAATTGATTGGTAAATAGTCATCATCTTTGACTCTTCTCACATATATTTCCATCACCATAGCCATTGCAGCCACACCTAGTATCACTTTCACACACGTCTTTTACACATACATAGCCATATCAGCTATCCCTTAGGAACCTTTTATCATGAAATCTTGTTACCCCACTGCATGTGCATGATTCATCATCTTTCAAGATAACATTCATTTAAAGAAACATTGTATACTTGCTTAGCTTCCTGACCTGAGCAATGTTTATTGTTTCATGCATCACATAATGTGCTTAGCAACATTTATATATCAATAATTTGTAATCATGCAAAGCATATCGTTCATAGCTCCTTGACCTAAGCAACGTTCGTTATGTAATAATCACTTCATCTAAGTGACGTTCAAGATCTTTTCTTTAAATCATATATGATGCTTAGCTCCATGAAATAAGCTCATTCATCTATCGTGTCACATGATGTAGTTGTCCTTAGCCTCCTGGCCTAAAAATATACATCATGCATAAATTACTTTCAAGACAAGCAATTCAATCCATACGATTCATTTCGTCTTGCTCAAGGAGGAAGTTCAAAACTTCTTCCCTTTTAAATTATTTTATTTTAGGGAAGTTCAAAAACTTTTTCAAAAATTTTTATCGAGGGAAGTTCGAAAATAAAATTTCATTTTTCACGTCTTTCCTTATCGGGAGAAAGTGGGTACCCTCCACTTGTCTCATGACAAAAATGATGGAAAATTTTTGCTTTTGCATTTTTAGTTGCTTGTGTCTACACACACACACTCAAACTATACACACACAATCACAAGTCATACTCATGTCATGTCGTGTCAAGTGAAACTTGGTCAAGTCAGTTAGTCAAGTCAATCATAGTCTATACGAGTCTCCTGGAAAATTTTATTTTGCAGGACTCAATTACAGCCTACGTCCGGGGACAAGCGGACCATCTACAACCCATGTCCGAGGACAAGCAGACCATTTACAACCAACCCACATCTGGGGACAAGCGGACCATTTACAACCAGCCCACGTCCGGGGACAAGCGGACCATTTACAACCAGCCCACGTTCGGGGACAACTAGACCATTTACAACCCACGTCCGGGGACAAACGGACCATTTACAGCCCACGTCGAGGAACAAGTGGACCATTTACAGCCCACGTTTGGGGATAAGCGGACCATTTAAAGCCCATGTTCGGGGACAAGCGGACCATTTACAGCCCACGTCCGGGGACAAGCGGACCATTTACAGCCCACGTCTAGGGACAAGAGGACCATCTAACACCCACGTTTGGGGACAAGCGAACCAACTACAGCCCACGATCAGGGATATCGAACCACCATCATTTCACGGTGCAAGGTTCTCGATACACATAGACTTGCAATCTCATCACATTTCGACTTTCCTCAAGCATGGAAAGTATTATTTGGTGGATATCTTCAAGCGTTGAAAACCGCCAAATTCATATGTCGGCTTTCCTCAAGCATGGAAAGTATCATCTTGTAGATTTCTTCAAGCATAGAAATCTACCAAACTCGTCAGTCGACTTTTCTCAGGCATGGAAATTATTTCAACAGAATGTCATTCGGTGGATTCCTTCAAGCATAGGAAGCTACCAAGCTCATTTGCCACCGATACACTGGTGTTAGATAAGCATTATATTCCTTTACTCTTTTATCTGTAGAACTTATCGGCGTATATAAAGTGATTTAGGATTGCAAAATGTCTTAAATAATTCTCCCTCCCTATCGACTACTTTCACTATCGTTTTCGAAACTGACGCTTCAACAAACTCAGTCAAAGTGAGGGCTTCTATGAACACCTAAAAATGTCTCCCCAAAACCAAACCCGTTGAAGAACACCTTTCACCGAAATTATTGGTCAGGTTTAGTATTTAATCTTTAGAGTGCTTAAATCCATGTTCTATCCAATAAATTTCATGAACCAATCAAATTTCTAGCTCATTTCCCTAAACCATAACCTATTTTATACTTTTCGTGTCCTTATCGCAAAACCGAGAGAAACTTATTTTATGGCTATAAAATTTTGATCCAATTATTATATTTTTGGATATTCTTTTAAATAATCTTTCCATCCATATATCATAAGCCCCATTCCGAGCTATAACAAAAAAGATATGAGCAAAATACTAAGCTAGGCCTAAAACCAACACCCTTCCACTAAAACGGCCATATATTAAAATCTAAAAATCATTTTGACCTGATTCTAATTAGGTTTCAAAGTAGACTTTATAAGCTTTCTAATGATATGTTATATTCCTTATTCTAAGCTACAGATCAAAAGTTATCGCAATTTGAAAAACACGTAAAAAACTGAAATCGTCGCGCAGGCAACCAAACCACCGCATCACGGGGGAAAGTGACGTGGCACGGGGCCTGTTACCATGACACTGAAATTCTCAACGTGTCACAGTGCCTGGTGCCGTGACACGGGAATTCCCGTTCTTATTTCCGCGCTCTTTTAACGCGTAAATTTCCCGCGTCACGGGTGATGATGACGTGGCACGGGGTATGGTACCGTGACACGAGATTTTTCACCGTGTCACGGTGCTTTCCCGTGTCTTTTCCGCGTTTCATTTCTTGTAGGTCAAATATTTCCCGTGTCACGGTGCTTTCCCGTGTCTTTGACACAAAAAATTCACCGTGTCATGGTATGTCTTCCCGTTTCACGGTGCACACCTCGTGACACGGAATTTTCTCGTGTCTTTTCCGCGTAAACCCTTCACGCGTTTTCACTTCCCGTAGGTCAAATATTTCCCGTGTCACCCCAGTTGTCCACCGTGTCACGGTGTTTTCTGCTGTGTCGCGGTGTTAATTTTTAGGGTTTTTACCTTTGTAGGGTTCCGCGTGTTCCCTATACTTAATTTCCCTATAAATAAGACCCTGATTTCTACAGTTCGAAGCACCACTAATCATTCTTTCTCACCTTACACCAAAAATCATTCTCTTCTCCCTCTTTAATCTAATTTCTAGCCTCCTTATTCTTCCATAATAATTCCCCTAAGCACTCCAAGGAGTCTATACTTAACCCGAGGTTCCGTCCTTAAACCAAGGCGTGATAGGTACAAATAATTGAGGGTTTGGACCAAATCAACTCTACTTTTTTTTTAATTTAATTTAATTTTCATTTACTTTATTTTTTTATTGAAGTTACTAACAATTTATTCATGATGTAGAAATTTAATATTGCTAGTATCATGATTAGGGTTATTTTATATTTGATTTGACTAACGCTATTATTGTTAAATTGCTTCCAATATTAATGTTTATTCTATTGTTATTATTGATCACTGTATTGTATGTTTAAAGGGAATATGTAATGGAAAATCACTCCTAATAAGATAATTTGGACAACCGGTTTAGAATCCTTTTTAATCTTGTTATTAATTCAAATGATCGCAATATTTTAGAATAATATGTTGCATTAATATTAAACCAATTTAGCTAAATAATAGTTTGGAGCGAATTGAGTATTTTGTTTGCGTGCCTTTGAGATCGGAGGAATTTTTTTCACTATAAGAATTGAGTAGAGGCCAATACGGGCGAATGTGACTCCATGACTCACTTCGTACCATCATCCCCGATCCTCCTTTCGTGGTTCCGAACCATATGGAGTTTGTAATCTCATGGATTATGAATG